TACCTCTTCAGAGGGGGGAATGTTAGAGTAGCCAAAAGCCCCATAAAAATAAATCAAAGAAGAAGAAAGAGACACAGATTAACCCCAACTCAGTAATAGTAGGGAACTTCAATCCCCACTGTCTTCATTAGACAGGTCAACTGGACAAAGAATAAACAGACAGACATCTGAATTAAATGATACCACACATCAAATGGACCTAATAGGCATCTTTTGAATATTCCACCCAAGCACCAGAGAATACACTTTCTACTCAGTACCCCATGGAACTTTTTCAAAAATTGACCACATACTGGGCCACAAACAAATCTCAACAAACACACACAAAAAAATGAAATAATTCCATGCATGCTATTGGACCACAATACAGCAAAGCTCAAAATCAACACTGGACAAAGCCCTAGTCACTATAGGAACTCATGGCGATTAAACAACACACTGCTAAACAATGAATAGGTCAAAGGAGAAATTAAGAAAGAAATAAAAGAATTCCTGGAATTCAACAAAAGGGACAATACAACACAACACAACCTCTGCAATACTTTAAAAGCAGTCCTAAGAGGGAAGTTAATAGCTCTAAGTAACTACATTAAAAAATTAGAAAGTGAGCCGGGCGTGGTGGTACATGCCTTTAATTCCAGCACTCGGGAGGCAGAGGTAGGCAGATCTCTCTGAGTTCAAGGCCAGGCTGGTCTACATAGTAAGTTCCAGGAGAGCTGGGGCTACAGGGAGACCCTGTCTCAAAAGGACCCCCCCGCAAAAAAAAATTAGAAAGAGCCCAAATAAATGACCTAACAGTGCAACTCAAGACACTGGAAAGGCAAAAACAAATTGTGCTGGATAGCTTTAGTGTCAACTTGACACACCTGGGTTGAGGGAGACTCAATTGGGGAATTGCCTTCATTAGACTGGCCTGTGGCCATGTCTGAGGGGCACCTTCTTGATTGTTGAGTCATGTGGGAGGGCCCAGCCCACTGTGGGTGGTGCCACCACTGGGCAGGGGGCCTATGTTGCATAAGAAAGCAGACTGAGCAGGGGCCAGGGAAGCAAGAAGTAAGTAGCATTCCTCCATAGCCTGTGCTCAAGCTCCTGCTTCCAGGTTCCTGCCCTGAGTTCCTACCTTGGGCTCCCTGATGAACTGTGACCTGGGACATATAAGCTGAATAAACCCTTTCCTCCCCAATTCAGAGTATTTTGTCATAGCAATGAAGAACAAACTAGGGCACAAATGAAACCCAAACCTAAAAGAAGAGAATAACAAAAATCAAAGCAGAAATTAAAGAAACAGAAACAAAGAAAACAATATGAAGACTCAATGAATCTAAGAGCTGGTTCTTTGAAAAGCTAAA